TTTTAATGGCCTTACTGCAGGCTTGGTTACATTTTCCAGCAGTGGAGATGTCCGCCATGCCCCTGGTTCCGTCCTGTCTGAATTCAGTTAAATCTCAATCATTCTTTATATGCCTATGTCAGGGGGTTCTGTGGTCGTGGTTGAAGATAAGGTCTTTTTTATGGGTGACTGTGCTTCCCACTCTGCTTGCCAGCGTTCCTCGAGACTCACTCGTGGCGTCATCCCTCATGGTTGGTGCCATAATTTCAGGCGTAGTGTCAGCTGCCGTTGGAGGACACGGTAAATGAGAAGCTGAAGATTTGCATCAATGGTCCGGAAAACGCAAAACGCTTGTTCGCCTCTACGAAAATATGGGGTTCAGTATGCGTCAGAATAAATAACCATTGCTTTTGGATTTACTTTATGGTGCTAATGTTGCGATTCACGTTGCTTAATTGAGCTGAGTGTCTCCTCTCCTCGTGTGGCAGCTCTTGGGCTAAACAGGGATTAGTACATGAAAGGCTGAACCGGCCAGTAAATTAAACAAAGAGATTGAATAATATGAAAATAAAATGAGGTTCAATTAACACAAGGAGAAACATAAAAACACAGTTGTGTGAAAGCAAAACAAGACTATGTTCCACTGAAGGATATTTAATCGCCTGTTTAGCAGCTTTAGAGTATGAAAATGTGCCTTAAAGTCCGTTTAACTAATCAATGAAGAACTTAGTAGGCTGCAAGGCAGATCACTTAGAATGGTTTGGAACTTTGGAACGTTTTTTATAGAGGATTATGTGTTTTTCACCATGTTGTTTCCCATATGGACTTCAAGTATGATTGTGACCTGCCATGCTTAGTTGTTTAGTGGCAGATCACTCACCTGTGGCATGAACTTGAGAGACGACCTCAAAATCTCATTAAAGTCATGGATGTCAAACTGGGGGAAACGGTAGCAGCGACCTGTAGGTACAGCGGTAAAATGCACAGAAGGATAAAGCATTGAGTGCTTTTTTTAGTCTCATTATGTCAAGCGCTGTCAGGCTATAACGAGTCACTGCTGATATGAACCAGTTCATGCCATAGCGTGCAGTGAAAGGTTTGTAAATACCTGGCTTTTAGTACTGCGCATAGCGCAGTCCACTGAAGTTGTTTTAGATATGCTGATTTCGAGCGCATAGAAGGGCAGAATGAATGCTTTTTTATGCACATTCGGCTTCTCAGACGACTCCTCATGGGTTCCAGCACTGGTGTTTCGTTAGCATACTGTATACATTTCAGCCGAGTATTGACAGCACATTCATTAGTTAAGATGTTAGGTAACATTAGTTAGAGAATTAAGCCTTACATTGCTCTAAGCTTACATTGACGTGCCCCGTAACATTCTATTGACTTTGGTGGATTGGTGTCGATGGGAGAAATGATTTTTCTATTAGTTAGGGTAATAATCAGCAGAAAGTTCAGCGGGCTTGAGTAACACCTTGTTACCTTGGACTTTATTGAATGCATATAATAATGCGATATGTTTATGAATACTGTCACGTAAGTTTTTGCTTTTATCCAGCTCTAAACAGTTTCATGAGTTAGGCGTATGTGCTCCGTTTTACTTACACCACGTGACCATGTGAACAATTTTTCTAGACAGTTCACCTGTTGTTTGCATTTCTTCAAGACTGTCAAAAATGTTTCTACGTCCAGAAGTACAAACTTACTGAAATGCTGTGGGTTCTTCTCATTTGCTTGTTATCGAACAATACACCCCGCTTGGTGAACGACGGGTTATGCAGAATAGCTTCTATCGGTGACTGAAGTGACTTTTTACCTCTGTTACCCTTTTGCAGTAGATTCGTTTTGAAAAGACTGGTTCTTAATGATAACAGACATAAATCGAGATGATAATAAGCGTGGCAAATGATGCTGAATAAATGAAGCTTTCGAAATCCACGATGCTCTTCCTTCTTCAGTACAAATGAATAATGTACTGCGGAGATATCGCAGTTACAGATAACGAAGATCAGTTGCTAAATACTTAAAGTATTATAGCGAATAAGCTATTGAATTACTCAACCACTGTTCTACTCAACGTTTCAGATGCTGAACTTCTTTACTACTGAAGCATTCAGCTACTGGACAATCGAAAAAGCGAAAGATAGTGAAAAGCATAAGAAACGAAAGAAGAGTAGGACCATAAAATGCGGATGTAAAACAAATCAAAAATGATAAATAAATGATAAAATGTTAACGAAAATAAATATGTAAATGAATTGATAAATGGAGATTAAATAACAGAAAATAAATCATTCAGTTTATTCAGCAATTATGTAAAAGATCTTACAGTTTAATGATTCCTTTACACTGGCTGCTCAGATTACTTTAATAAAGATGGGTTAGCTTATTAAACGATCGTCGTGACTGTCTAAGATCTTCACGTCATTTTTGTCAACGTTCGAAGCGAGAGCAGAATGTTCTTCGTTTGTATGTTCGAAACCTGCCATATACGCGTTTAGACGAGGTTAACATGCCTTTTTGCCATGCTAGTAATAATCTCTCGATAACCTTTACAGATAATTTTGTAAACAGCCCTGAATTATTAAACATGTCGTCTGTTGTGAAAGGTTCGCTTTGCAAAGTGTTGCGTGAGATATACTTTCTTTCAAATGAATTGAATCCGATCTTATTGAGACAGAGGGATGGCAGTAAATTCAAATTAACAGGTAAAAATGAAATATTTTGGTTATCTTGAGATAGGAGTGAAGGTTGATGAAAGATGTGATGTTGGATAGTGATGGGCATGTGTGTTAGATATATGATGGAGGATGATTTATTTGTCCTTTCTCCCCGTTTTTTAATCTTTTATGTCTTTCATTTCTAATGCCTTTTATTTTATTTTCATGCCGTATATTTTTTCCATTCGATCCTCGAGTGCTTTAATCATTTACTTGCTGATCTTTTCTCATCTGCGACTACGATATCTTCTCTGCATGTAATTAATTTGTGCTGGACAAAGGACACCGTTGTAGGTTCCGAAAACTTCAGTTATTCAGTAGTTTCTTTTGATTTGGCTTTTAACACCGTTCCTATATTTATGTAATAACAGACAGTGTTGTAGGCAAAATGTATTAATGATCGTTAGTTCGGACTGATGAAAGTTATCTGTGGAACAGAATGCACAGGCCTGATGTATACTGTTTTCTTTTCTCTGTAACGAACAACGTGGATTAGCATTATTCCTGAGTATCCATAGATCACGCGTATTACATTAAAAATTTTTTTATAAAGTGATTTTAACTGTTATCGTTCCGTTCGTTTGTTCGAATTTTAACTCAAAATCGTTCAGATCTTTTGGACATCATCTTGTTTTCGTTCTTCGATTGTTCTTTTTTTAATACTTCACTTTTTGTAGATCTTACCGCGTGATAAGGTGATGAAGAGTTTGCAGAAGATTTTTTCCCTCAACGTTTGTTCGTTTAAAAATGGGACAATGGGAGCAGTGAACGGAATGATGCCCGACGGAAACGTAGACCTCACTTCGTTACAGTCCCAAGAAATGTGGATCGGCGTTACCTATTTTTTAGCGGCCTTGATGATACGACAGGTACTGATTTGTTTTGTTTTGATTTTCATATAGCTGAGTGCTTCTTTTCTACTGCTTAGAAATTTTGTATTTTCGTATGATAGTTTTTCTGTAACCAAACTAGCGGGAGCTCTTTAAAATCCGTTCTCTCCTCCTTGTCACTGGAAGCGAACAGCGATCAAGGCAAGGAATTGCTTGAAAGGGTGAAGTACGGTAGCGTTTGTTCCTATTCCACCGCTACAGAGAACATGAAGCTTTGGGATGGGCCCTGAAACGATCGGCCAATTTGGCTCTGGTGATGGTATTTGGCTCCTGACTTGTAGTCAGCGACCCAGCAGTTAGGAAGCAACAAATGAGCTGCTGATTGCTACCTTTAAGCCAGTATCGGTCGTTGATTCACAGTCAGTGTCTGTTTGCCTCTGAACAAGTTGGCTGCTGTACCGCACTGTGTTTTCCTTGTTCGAAGCGATTATTGTATTAAAAAGTAACTAACAATAAGAAATATTAGCTTTCTTTATTGCACTGAGCTTTTGACCCCTCACTCATCAACGCAATGACCACTCAAGTGCATTCTTCTCATTAGCGCAACGATTTTACTTTGACTAGGCGTACGTAATGATGAAAGGGAAGGCAACGACGGTAAACTCGCCAATGCACATTCCTTACGCTACCGTTTTGTTACATATTGCATTTTATATGCTGCCATATACGTAATTGAGTAAGTTGAAGTTTGACTGTCCGTCAAAGTGTGTATACGTAGTGGGCGATTAAAGTTGAATAATTTATCTCTTTTTGCAGTAAGATTTTTCAGTGACTTCTCTTGGACTTTAAAAGTGCAATAATAATTTATCTGTTTTTCACTGCTAGAAATGCTACGCATTTATTTGACATCTCGGCTTAAATTCAGTTATCTTGTCGGATAAAATTCACGGATCGCTTGATGTTTATGACTTTAAAGGCAGCACCTGTCACGTTGGCCATTAAAGACTGTAGGAATTTTGTGTGAGACTGTTGCAGTGCTACTTTTTGTCATGACTCGAGTGTGAGTCACAGGCAGCATTTGCGTTTATGAGTCGTTATCAGGAGAGTTCAAAAGGTTTTGCTAGCCTATGATTCATGTGGCTGGAGATTGTAATGCTACGACTGTTAAAGTTGACAAATTGACAATTGCATTTTTTTCTCGATAATATTTATTGTAGCTCTTATATAAAATTTTAATTTTTGACTTTCTAACGTGCTATGTATCATTCGTGGCATATCTGTGGTATTAATGTTGTCGTTTCGAGTTGTAATCCGTCCATGCCAGCACCTTCTGAAACTACTTTGTTGTTCATTCCATGCTGCTAATACCGCTTTTACTTGATTACTAATAAGCCTACCCCTGTATCCAAGCCTCGGAATTATTGTCTGTATTTTTGAGTC